CACAAAAACACAACAGCTACTTTCGTTCTGTTGTCTTGTCTTGTTTCTGAGTTTATTTATACGAGATTTATTTGAGACATATTTGATTTTTAAAGTCACATTTCATCACATTGAGTTGAGTAAATGTACTATAGTCTTGTTACTGCACTGGAAATCTGTATTAAATTGATCCCATTTTAACAGGGGTGTAAGAAGTACTCGTTTATGTTAGTAAAAGTAAAAGTATCACATGAAAAACTCAAGTATTTAAGTACCCGTTTAAACATGTACTTAAAGAGTAAAAGATGAAAGTATTCTAGTACATCAGAATCACTAAATTTGAAGACTTATAATAAATACTTTACACAAATTCGCGCTGAATTTTGAAAAGCTATTTTTATTTGCGTATTTTTTTAAACCCTCAACCTTTTCTGCAGATCTCACACACTTATAAAAAAATACTTTTACTTTTCAGTCCGGATCAAAAATGCAGTGGAGTCTCGAATGTAGTGAAGTAAAAGTAAAAAGTATCCACGTTTAAATCAACTTAAGCAAAGTACAGACACCTAAAATGTATATTACTACTACTACTACTACTACTACTACTGTTGTGTCTTAACACTTTGTACACCTTTTAAGTACTCTAAAATAACTCTATAAATAAAGACATAATCACTATTATTAAATGCATATTTTCAAGGTTTATGAGAACACTGATAAAAGGTTTCAAGAGACATGGTAAAAGTTACGTGTTTTATTTTTAACGCCACATATTGCAACATCGATTTGACTAAGTGTACTGTACTGTACTGTATTTATTTATTTAATTACTTTACAAAACATCTCCAAACCTTTAAAACAGTTCAGACAATTCTATTCTATGGACGTCCTGTAAAAGGGAACTGCCCAGAGGCTGTGATAGTTTAAAGACGGGGCCCCTGATATGTATATATATATATATAAAACAAAATACAGACATAGAGCTTCTGATTTAAGAGCTGTATTCATGAGAAGGTTGCTAAAAAAAAAAGTTTTAACAGAAATTGTTAGAGTTTAATATTTTAAAGCCATATTTTGTTACACTGATCTGAGAAAACTCTAAAAGAACATTATATTTTGTTTCACGTGCATCTTCTGAGCTGATCTAAAAAGAAAAGTTGTGTTATGAGGACATAGCTAAAAAACTTTAAAATTACAGCACGTGGTATAACATGTATCTTCTGATTTGGGAAGGAGTTGTATTTACTGATGGCATTTATGATTTTTCAAGCTACATTTTTGACACACTGATTAGTTTTGTTGAAACATCGTAAATCTGTATTCAACTCACTGCTGTATCTGGTGTAACATGTATCTTCTGATATGAGAAAACGCTGTATTGTCAAGGTTTATGAGGACGTTGCAAACATGTTTTAACAGAAATTGATACTGGATTTTTAAAGCTACATTTTGTTGTATTGATAAAACTCATTATATTTCTGCAAATCTGTGTTAAAAGAACATTATATTTTGTTTCACATGCATCTTCTGATCTGACTTGCAAAAAAAAGTTGTATTTTCGAGGTTTATGAGGACGTTATGAGGACGTTGCTACAAAGTTTTAGGTTAAATATTATATTTTTAAAGCCAGCTCACTGCTTTATCTGTATAACACGTATGTTCTGATATGAGAAAAGCTGTATTGTCAAGGTTTATGAGGACGTTGCAAACATGTTTTAACAGAAATTGTTCAAGGTTAATACTGGATTTTTAAAGCCACATTTTGTCATTTTGATAAAAAGTACCATATTTCTGTAAATCTGTATTAAAAGAACATTATATTTTGTTTCACATGCATCTTCCCATCTGATTTGCCAAAAAAAAGTTGTATTTTCGAGATTTATAAAGACGTTATGAGGACATTGCTAAAAATTTTTAAATTAAATATTACATTTTTAAAGCCAGTTCACTACAATATCTGATATAACGTATCTTCTGATATGAGAAACGCTGTATTGTCAAGGTTTATGAGGACGTTGCAAACATGTTTTAACAGAAATTGTTCAAGGTTAATACTGGATTTTTAAAGCCACGTTCTGTCATTTTGATAAAACACTATATTTTGTTTAACATACATCTTCTGATATGACAAACACTGTATTATCAAGGTTTATGAGGACCTAGTTAAAGTTTAACACTGGGTTTTTAAAGCCTTGTTTTGTCATACTGTTAAAACTCACTATATTCCGGTAAATCTGTATTAAAAGAACATTATATTTTGCTGAACATGCACCTTCTGATCTGATCTGCAAAAAAAAGTTGTATTTTCGAAGTTTATGTGAACGTTATGAGGACGTTGCTACAAAGTTTAAAAAGATGCTTTATCTGCTACAACATGTATCTTCTGATCTGATTTGCAAAAAAAAGGTTGTATTTTCGAGGTTTATGCGGACGTTGTTAAAGATTAACACTGGATTTTTAAAGCCACATTTTGTCGTACTATTAAAGCTCACTGTATTTCTGTAAATCTGTATTAAAAGAACACTATATTATGTTTAACGTGCATCTTCTAATCTAATTTGGAAAACAAATGTTGTATTTTCGAGGTTCATGAGGACATTGCAGACAAAACTGTTCAAGTCTAATATTAGATATTTACAGATACATTTTGTCGTACTGATAAAACTCACTATATTTCTGTAAATCTGTATTAAAAGAACATTATATTTTGTCTAACACACATCTTCTAGTCTGATTTGCAAAAAAAGTTGTATTTTCGAGGTTTATGAGGACATTGCAAACATGCTTTAACAGAAATTCATGAAGTTTAATTCTTTAATACTCACTATATTTCTGTAAATCTGTAGTAAAAGAACACTATATTTTGTTTAACGTGCATCTTATGATCTGATTTGCAAAAAAAAGGTTGTATTTTCAAGGTTTATGAGGACCTTGTTAAAGTTTAACACTGGATTTTTAAAGCCACATTGTGATAAAACTCACTATATTCCTGTAAATCTGTATTAAAAGAACACTACATTTTGTTTCACATGCATCTTCTGATCTGATCTGCAAAAAAAGTTGTATTTCCGAGATTTATGAGGACATTGCTGACAGGTTTTAACAGAAATGTATCAAGTTTAATACAGGATACATTATGGCGTATTGATAAAAGTCACTGTATTTCTGTAAATGCATTGTAAATCTTTATTAAAAGAACATTATATTTTGTCTAACACACATCCTCTTGTCTGATTTGCAAAAAAAAGTTGTATTTTTGAGGTTTATGAGGACACTGCAGACCAAACTGTTCAAGTCTAATATTAGATATTTACAGATACATTTTGTCGTACTGATAAAACTCACTATATTTCTGTAAATCTGTATTAAAAGAACATTATATTTTGTTTCACATGCATCTTCTGATCTGATTTGGAAAACAAATGTTGTATTTTCGAGTTTTACGTGGACATTTTAACAGAAGTGTCTCCAGTTTCTCTTCCTCGGTTAAACCCAGTCCCCTGCTCTGGCTCTGGACTCTGCAGTGAAAAGTTTGCTCAGCGGTGCTCGTCCTGAACCTTTTTTTTCCTTTTTTTTTTCTCGCTCTTTCAGCCGTTCGAGCATTACATAACACATCCAGTCCGCCTTTTTCCTCTTTCTTTTACCCAGACGCACTTTAATCCCGCGTATACAGGGGTGGGGGGGTGGATATGGGTCAGCAGGTTAGGAGTGTCTCAAAGTCAGACTCGTGAAAAGACAAATCAATCCACGAAGCCTCCCCTCTGTACCTGTCTTTTGGCCCGCTGTTACGTAAGAGCGCGCGGGCCCGTGCCAACACTCGGCCTCACTGTTTCCTTTCAGACATTTCCACCGGCTCTGCGTCCAGCCTTCCCCTCTCTCCTCTTTTCCTCTTTCCTCTCCTCTCCACAGACCCGAGCTCGCCTGGACCACACTGGCAACTTCCAAAAAAAAAAAAAACCCCTAAAAAAACGCAATGGCGATTTGTGCTCGGGAGTTGCGCGCCTGTGTTTATGGCTAAACCTGTTACATAACCAGCTTACATTCCACATTCACCATATCACAGTCTAAATATACCCACGCGCGCACGGCGGGACGGGGACGGGGACGCGCGTCAAAAGCGAAATAAGTGTAAAAAGCGTTTCCCGACACTAAGACGTTGTGCTCGCATCGTCTGTGTGTCTGGCTGCATTTCTCGGGCTGGTACGAGTCCGAGCGCGAGGAATAGTCGCGGAAAGCTCGGGTCTGTATTGAAGTTACAGCGAGACAGTAAGGGGGTGTGGTTAAACACTGTCGGTACTGTACAACATGGACGGGACGACAGCGAATACACATGGAAAAGCACCCAGACGCACTCAGTGACCACAAGGACATCACCGTGAGGCGTTCAAGTGTCAGCCGTGGCGCGTTCACGGCGTGTGTGTGTGTGTGTGTGTGTGTGTGGAGGGGGGGTTGCTGAATGAAGCGGTGCAGCGATGCCCAGTGAAACAAACGCATTCCGCTTCGTACATCTTCCCTTTCTTAACGATGCGCGCCGCGTTTTAGATCCCCGAGTCCAAAAAAAAAATATCTCGGGGGTTTGGCGTGTGCGCGGACAGGAGGAGGACACGTCCCCCTCCTGTCCGCGTCCAAACCCGGGCACGGATCGATAAAGTAGTGCGTAAACTTCTGACACTTTGACACCGGGAGCAAACGGCTGAACGTGCACGAGGCAAGGTCCGCGTGCGTTTGAAGTTGGGATTGATTTGTGAATTCGCCCCACACACTGACAGCAGCAAAAAACGCGCGACCGTATCGCTCCCCTCTGCTCCGAGCCCCGTCCGTAAACACACTATCATGACAAACGCGTAAAAACACTGACATGTATCTATGTAAGAGACACGACCACAGCGCCGTGCCTCTGAACGCTGCTCCTGTGAAGCACACGGGGGGGTGGAGAGCGTTCCGTTTGAAGTTTTTAGTAGAAAATGCCCCGCTATTGTCAGCTCTTTTGACACGTAAGACGCGAACCCGGTGCCGCTTACCTCTGTTGGTGCTGGAGCAGGTTTGCCTTCGAACCGGGGCTGGATGGTCCGCTTTCCGGAGCGTCTCGAGGTTTACCGGGGTTTCCCTGAGCGGGGTAGCCGGCTCGGAGGCGCCGTTGCTCGGGTCGCTCGCAGGATCTGGTGGGGACTCCATGTTGAATCTTTCGGCTTGAATCTTCGCGTAAAGCGCCAAGACTTTCGGCGATTTTCTACACAAAGCGCGCGCTCCCAAACACTGCCTCTTGCTATCTAAATTAAACTAGAAGTAAGAAATGAGAAATGCGAGTGTCTGGAGGTGGGTGTGTATGTCTGATTGTCCACTGGCAGCGCTAGTGAGAGCCCCACTCAACACAAGTGAAGAGGGAGAGGTTGTCAATAGTCGAAGAATAGATAGAGGCCTGGGAGTAATCCATGCTGATCGAGTGTGCGCTCTTTGACTGCGCGTCGCGAACACTTTGTCATTATGCAACCTGGTTAAACAGTTCACTACCTCTGGATATTGTCTACTGACGTGTGTTAGGAATTATATAACCAGCCCGCAGACACAGACGGGCTTCTGCTGTAAACCGGCGGACTGACCAAACGGCCCAGATGCGCCCTGTGACACGCAGTTGCATCATGCGCACAATCCACTTTTATTTCTATTTAGAGCCTCGTGGAGCTATTACATCTAATCTATCACATGCACGCTCCTCTTATGTATTCTCTTGATGCGTGATGAGGTAAACAAGTGCACTGCTTTTTTGGGGGGGTTCGTGTGTGCGTCAAAACTCGAACCCTGCGTCCCTCTCTCTCTGGAGCTGCGGAGTGTGTGTCGTGTGTGTTTCTTTCCCCTCCCCGCCGCCGCTGCTGCCGTGTGTCCCTCAGTTGAATCGGCTCCCGTCAGCTTGTTGCACGCTTTGTGCATGTGACAAACAGGCCGAGGCAGAGTCCCGCCCCCGAAGCGCAGCACGTGGACTTTGACATGGTCCTGCCCGCCTCCCCCCCGGTGCAGAGGCGATTCTTCTGCGCAGACTTTTTAGACCAGGACGGGGGTTGGTGGTGGGCGAGTTTTTTTTGTTTTTTTTTTATCAATGGGGTGCCAAGTCAATTCTGCAGATGATTAATTGGGTTTCTTTATAAAAAAAAAGCAGGACATGGCGTTGTTTGGATGAGCTGGGGAGAGTTTATGTTTGACTAAGAGGTGGAAAAGTGAGGCTGCCGAACAAAAAATGTCATTTAAAAACCAAAAAAAAAGCACCTCTAAAATAAAAGTAATGCAGCTTTAGGATCCATGTACCATTTGTTCTTTTGAATTTCAATTAAGAATGAAAAAATAAAATGGGAAAACAGTTTGTTATTTCATTTTTCTGTTTTCATGTCCAACAAAAAACAGATTTCGACCTCTATTTCCGAAAGTTTAATTTCAGTTTTATTTCAAGTAACAGAAAACAGTCATTGTGCCGATTTCAATTTTGATATTTTATTCTCTCTGGACAAAAGAGAGTGTATTGCTGCTACTTTTTTCTCGTCATGGAGTTCAAAAATGACTTTCTAAGATGCGAAAGTAAACGCGTCTCTATACACTGGTAGATATTTGCATTTCTGAAGCTGAATCTTCGCAAATTAAGTCAAATGTTCTTAATTTAAGTCATTTTAACTAACCTAGATTTTGTTTTTTTCTAGTGTGTCCTCAAAATTCACAAAACTGCAACGATTTTTCAGGTGAGTCCCTCTAGCAGCAGAACGCCCGGAACAAACAAACCAGAGAGAATAAAATATCAAAATTGAAATACAGACAGTAGACAGTCTCTCATTTCTAAGATTTTTCTCAAAATGAAACTCGAAGTCAAGTCATTTTTATTTTTATACTGCACAGTACAGAGTCGTTTCTTCTTAGGATCCTTCACTGGAAAAATCATGTCCAGCTAAGTTAAAAATGACTTAAATTAAGAACGTTTTACTTTATTTGAGTCGATTCAACTTGACAAGTCACATGATCTATTAATGGAATAAGTTTGTTTTTCTTAATTCAAGCAACATTTGATTTTGTTTCTTATTTTAAGCGCAAAAAGTTGTGTTTTTTTTTTTTTATTTTAAGTGCAGCAAGACGTATTTTTATATTTTAAGTACATAAAGTCTTGTTCCATTGGTAGATCATGTGACTTGTCAAGTGAAATTTACTCAAGTCATTTTAACTTAGATTTAGTTTTTTCCAGTGCAAAGAGAATAAAATATCAAAATTGAATCATAGGCAACAATGGGGTCAGCTCTATGTTCCCTCATTTATAACAAAGTGAAACTCGAAGTCAAGTCATTTTTATTTTTATACTACATTTAAAGGGATGATTCAGAGTCATTTCAACTTAGGATCCTTCACTGGAAAAAAAAACAATATCTAACTACAATAAAATGACTTAAATTAAGAACATTTTACGTCATTTGAGTCGATTCAACTTGACAAGTCACATGATCTATCAATGGAATAAGTGTGTTTTGCTTAACTCAAGCAACATTCAGTTTTGTTTCGTATTTTGAGTACAAAAAGTCTTGTTCCACTGGTAGATCATTTGACTTGTCAAGTGAAATTTACTCAAATCATGATCAAATGTTCTTAATTCAAGTCATTTTAACTTGGTTAGTTTTAGTTTTTTGCAGTGCAGAGAAAATTAAATATCAAAATTGAAACAGGCAGTGATGGGGTCAGCTCTATGTTCCCTCATTTTCCAAAATGAAACTAAGTCAAGTCATTTTTATTTTTATGTGGCATTTAAAGGACTGATTCAACTTAGGAATAATTTAAATTTAGGATCCTTCACTGAAAAAAACAAAACAATATCTAACTAAGTTTAAATGACTTATGTTCAGGACATTGTACTTTTATTTGAGTAGATTCAACTTGATAAGTACAATTATCTATCACTGGAATAAGTGTGTTTTTCTTAATTCAAGCAACATTTGATTTTGTTTCATATTTTAAGTGCAAAAAGTCTTGTTCCATTGGTTGATCATTTTACTCGTCAAGTGAAATTTACTCAAATCATGATAAAACTTTTTAAATTCAAGTCACATTAACTTGGTTAGATTTAGTTTTTTGCAGTGCGAAGAGAATAAAATATCAAAATTGAAATACAGGCAGCTCTATGTTCCCTCATTTCTAAAATTTTTCCCAGAATGAAACTCTAAGTCAAGTCATTTTTATTTTTAAAGGGATGATCCAGAGTCATTTCAACCGAGAATTACTTTGCATCGTGACCTCCACATGACATCTGTGTTCAACTGTTGCTGGTTAATAGGTTTGGTGTAAATGACGACCAAATTGAGAGAAATGGTGATAAAATCTGATGCAAATAAAGGAAAAGTGGGAACATAGGGCCTAATTTTGGGGAAAAAAAACAAACTTTGAAATGAGGGACCACAGGCAAACTCCCGGCACAATGAGTGCGTATACATGCACATCAGTAACCCGGTTATTAGCCATACCCCGGTTATGTCAGTGTTCGTGTTACTGCGTTTACATGTGCACTGAGAAACCGGGACACTCATATCTGCGTGTACATGATCAAATGGAGTATCCCGGTTTCTTGACATAATCTTACAAATGCGCAGGCGCAAAAATTAACTTAAATCAATTTCATAAACCAGGAAAAATACAAACCGTGAGCTCCTTTAGCATAAGAAGCTAAGGAGCTACGAGATCTCCCACAATCCACTGTGCAGATTCTTCATTAAAATCTTCTGCATAAATAAACTCAACTTTACAACATATAAACCATAAACACTATAGACACATCAGCCCGTTTGATCAGATCATTCAGCTCTGATCACATTTGTTTACGTTTTACAGAAACGAAACTTAAGACCGTTTGGCTAATTAGCATAAACTGTTAGCGGCGATAAGAACAACTCGCTCCTTGCGCCGCTGATGCGATCAGTTTCTTTTGGACTAAATGACACGACTCTGTGGATTATGTGTGTTATTTCTGTGACAGAAGAGGTGCTGATGATGGTGAGTCTGTTCTGTGTGTGTGTTGTACAGGAGATAGTTCATGTTTTAGCTTTTCAGTGTCACACGAGTGCAGGTCGTACGTGTGCAGGTTTAGCGCAGCTCTTAATTTTACAGTCATTTCACTCGTTTGGTCACTTTATTTATGTTGGTCACTTTATTTATGTTGCTACTGTTGTGGTGAAAAGACTGGAAAGTGTTTGTCTTTTGGAGGCATGTGACTCAACTTTATGTTGCAGTAACCGGGGTACTGCGTTTACATGCCACAAGTATCCCGGTTACTATTGGAATAACCCAGCTACAGTAACCCGGTTTCTAATAACCGGGATACTGCCATAACCGGGTTACTGAAACCGGGTTACTGCGTTTACATGCACCATCAAGAAACCGGGATACTCAAAAAACCCGATCATAACCGGGTTATTGATGTGCATGTATACGCACTCAATGACAGTTTTAGATTGGTGTTATTTGAAATACATTTAAGGTACATTAAGCAAAACAAACGGACGACACTTGAGACTTTTTTATTTCCTACGAGGACGACTCAAATATACATTGAGTAATAAATTAATGCAGCTTTGAGCACATTTGTTTACATTTTACATGGCGCATTTGCATAAACTAGAAGCGATTAAAAATTTAAAAAACAGCTCGCTCCTTGTGCGCTGATGCAGTTCAGTTTCTGTCGGACTAAAGAACATGACTCAGTGGAATATGAGTGAAAATTAGATCGAGGTCAGTAAGAACAACCAGAATGAATACGTAAGACGCATGAGATTATAAGGGGCACTGACGATTTTTTCAGAAAATTAAGGGATTTTAAGTGAATCCGTGTTTCATTCGTTCATTTGTTTTTCAATATAAAACCAAAAATAAGAAAATGAAAAAACGAAAAATAATGTTTTCTTCATTATTTGTCTCCAAAACCAAAATGAAAAAACAGATAACGATTTGTTTTTTCAGTTTTTGATTTTGTGTTTAAATGAAGAACGGAAAAAAACAGATAACGGCCCCGTTTACGTGACTCCTGCGACTGTGATGCCGAACTTTTGTGCTGCACACGGACTGAACCACGACTGATCCAGGTCCGGGACCAGACCGAGACCAGACCGGGGCCGAGACCGGGACTGAGACTGGGACCAGACCAGGACCAGACCAAGACTGAGATCAGAACTGAAACCGGGACCAGACCGAGACTGAGACCAGACCGGGACCAGAGCGGGACTGAGACCGAGACCAGGCCGGGACCACACCAGGATCAGACCGGGACCACACCGGGACCAGACCGGGACTGAGAACGAGACCAGGCCAGGACCAGACCAAGACTGACACCGGGACGGAGACCGAGACCAGGCCGGGACCACACCGGGACCAGACCAGGACTGAAACCGAGACCAGACCGGGACCACACCGGGACCAGACCAGGA